AGAGTGGTTTTTGGTGCAGCCCCCGACAGCGGGTCCAGGCAGAGCCCCCCACGGAGGAGGCATCTGCAGAGTGCTCTGACAGCTAGCCAAAGGGTGGGGGATAGGGGTGGGGGGAGATACGTCTCATTTAATTGATACGTGTATCAGCTATAAACTTTGTCTCATAAAGATATATTAAATAAATACAATATATTCTACAAGCCTCACAACAGTGTGGCTTTAAATTGTGGCCAATGAAACATATTTTTTCAAATATAAAAGAAGTTGTATTTTTTATAGCAATGCTTTGTGAGGGGGATGACTTGGTTTTGTGTTTTTAACTTCGGCTTAAAGCTTAGTCTGTCTTTCCTGAAAGACCTGGTAGAAATTATTGTCTCATTCTTGTCCTAGAACCTGATCAAAGTCATCTTGACCTCCTAAAACCGGTGCATGTGTAAAAGTATAATATAGTTTTGGGTGCCCCCCTCCCATATCCTGGAGAAGGATTACTGGTTTCGCAGCACAGTCTTACTTGCAGAATAATGTAGAAAGATGAGACCATCCTCCCAGTGAGGGAGGCGGTTTGCTTGGAAGGCATGGCGTATGTTCATCCACTTGCCTGAATTAGGCAGGTAACTTAGCCACGGAGTTTAGTCCCAGCTGAACTGGGTTATGTTTATATGCCGAAAGGTCGTCTCTCTGCATTTTGAAGCTGGGTTTATGGTAGTTACGGAGAGAGGAGGGCTCAGTCATGAACCCCACTTTCCTGAAGCAGCACTTCATACCCCATCTATGCAGGATGATGGTCTGCAAACTGGCAGCGTATTTGGAGAAGGATTCAGGCCATGAGCCACCAAAGCAGTTAAACCCTTGTAAAGTTTTGAGCTGACTCCCTGTCTCGTTGGCATCCATGCTGAAACGCTGTGTTTGTTCAGGACATTAATCTTGTGAAAGGTTTATTGCAGGCAAAGAAGAAGAATGGAGTATGATATGAAATGGGTTACCTCCACCAAAAGGGAAGGCCATTGTGGAAGATAAATCGAGCAACTTACCTTGTGATAAACTGGATATTATCTTAATTAATCATAGGAAATGTCCTCTTCCTCTAGCATTGCACAGCTTCTAAAATAATGAGTTATAAATATATTGTTTTCTGCCAACTCCAGCACTCAGCATGGTTAGCAGAGATTACAAATTAATAAATGGCTGAAGCTCTACCTGGTGGGGGGAGAGTTCACTCTCTCTGCAAGCTGCATTGGCTAAACCTCAGTGCTCACCAATATTAAAGTGGAGAATTAATGGAAAGCTGGTTAGACAGGACTTTCATGTACTCACTGTGCATTTTAATCCTGAATGAAAACCATAATAATTGTGTTGCTTTTTCCTTTCCCCATGAATAATATTTTCAGCTGATGGATTTTGTTTTATTTTATTGCTTATTTAAAGTCCAGCATTCTTTGCTTCCATTCCTTTTCCATCCCCCGGGATAAATGATGCAGTGGGGGGCATTTTCTCTCTCTCGTAGACTCCTTGGACTAGATTTTCCTACAAATGTACAGGCAACTTGTTTTGGCCAAACAATAAGTGAATGCAGCAGTGCAAATGGCCTTCATTCCAGAGATCTTGACGAGGACAGGGGTGTGTGAATGCATGCACATGGGTGGAAGAAGTCTAAGTCAAAAAAATCCAAAATAAAGAGCCTAACTTGCAGGGGAGGCTGAACACCCCTAAACTTACCTAAAAACTATGAAAGCTTCTCAACAGTTATAGAAACCAGGCCAGATATGGTGTACAATATTTGGTGAAAGAAGATAATTGTCATTCTAATTTTCATAATTAGGCAATTTAGAATATAGTTGTACGATCTTTTGCCCCACTTGTCCTCCAACTCGGTGAAACAGTTGGTATATGCTTAAGTCTCCTCAATCTGTATGTGATTAAATTGACCAAGTGCTCAATTTCTATCTTTCATATATGCAATTATGCACAATCTTTGCAAAATAGCCCTTAGAGGGTTTTTTTCCCCCAACCTTCAGGCTCTTGCAGCAATTTCAAAATGCATCATTTTGCTTTCATGTACATTTAAACCTAGCAGGAAAAAAGAAAAAAAAAAAAAGAAAAAAAAGCGCTTGGCATTCACTAGTGTTTCAATGTGGCAAAGTTGCTTCAGGTAATCTCAATGACTTTGTGCAAAAGTTCATTGCCATGTTTGTACTGACTTGCTGAATTTTTTTTCTTCTGGAAAATACCCCCAGTGGTATCCTCTGTAAAAGTTATGGCTTCTACAACTGTATTACTGTAGAAATCTCTGCCTGAAGTGGATGTCACACTGCATGTTCCTCTCATGCAGGCGTTGTTTGCATTGCCGGTTGTTCATATGGTTCTTATTTCTGTATCTAATTTTTTTTTTTAAATGAGTTGTGCATATCTTTTTTAAAAAAAAAAAAACAACCAAGAAAACTGCCCATGGATTAGAAATCTTCTAAAAATAAATTCACACTTAGCAGCAGCTGGATGTATTATGTCAGTGGTACTGGAATTTGCAAAGTCTTTGCTTTTTTCACTGTGGGATTTATGGCTAGATTTCACATAAAAGAGTTATGCTCAAAGTCTTTGCAAAAGAAAATGTATGTAAATGTCTATTTTATATAAAAAGTAAGAAAAGTAAGTGCCGTGTCTGGTTTTGTTCTCTCGGCTATGGGGTCAGTCTGTTCCTTAGGACCAACCATGAACAAGTTCTTCTGGAGGTGGAAGGGCCAAAGTTTCTTACTCCACTGACATTTTACTGACCAAGGAGTCCCAGTGATTGCTCACATAGGAGCAACTATGCAGCACAAGTACTTGAGTCTGGCCGTATAAAAATATTGGAGCAGGCATTTTTTGGAGCCTGAGCATGAGAAAGGATGAGGGCTGGTGCTTACACGGTCTTGATGATTGGACATGTTATACTGACATAAGCTCTTCATGTCAGGCTTTATACATCTGTCGGGAATGTGTCAAACAAACTTAAGTCTACAGAGTGCAGAGAAAAACAGAACAGAAATTTTAAAACCCCTCACTTCGTTCTAATTCCTTTCTTCCTCGCAGACATTCCCAGATGCTCCTGCGTGCTCCCAGGGCTTGGGTTCACTTAGGGGATCATGATGGTGATAAACACCTCCACTGAAAATGGACCTGAAAGAGAATTGAAAGCCCTGAACACAAGCCATAGTGGTTTTTGCCATCTTGGTGCATGCAAAACTCTC